TGGTTTACACGCAGGAGGGGAAACACGGCATTGAGGGATCGGCCACGCTGTTTTACATGGTGCACTGTGGGAAAGCCTTGTACAACAACCTGCTGTGGAGGAACTGGTCTGAACGGGCTCTGTCCAAAATGGTCATCATTGGGAACAGCTTTAAAGGAATGGAGGAAAGGTGGGTGCAGGCCAGCCAGGGAAGGGGTCTGGTGCCTCCAACAGCGTTTTCCTCTCCTTGCTTCCTTTACTCCTTTTTTTCTATTGCTTCGGACAGTGTTTTGCTCATTTTCAAGTGGCAGTCATCAACCACCCCCTGCCTTTTCTGTCCCCCGCCCCTCTTCAAAAAAGTTGTGTAAGTTCACTGCATCTAACGCTGGTTACCTTGTGTTATTCTAGAGTATTGTCAGCAATATTGGAGAGAGATTATTCTTACATAGCAAAGGTAAGAGTCACTAGTTTTTTAACATTATTGTTTTGTGTTGACAAAGCACCTTCTAATGAGAAAGGTTATTTTTAAAACCTTTGTTCCTGGCCACTACAATATAAAAATTAATCACTTTAGGATCATTCTACATTATCTGCAGAACACACTGCACACAGGGGTTTGCCTTAATGTAACACCATCCTCATCTTCACTGACCCTGAACTGAACTTTGCAGAAGAATTCTTCTGCGTCATACAGTAACTTTTTCCCCAAATGCTCTTAAGGTCTTGAAAGGGACAGAGGAGGTGGCGCTCCCCGCTCACCCTCGCTACCTCGACACCTTTAATGACACCTCCGTCCACTGGTTTCCCTTGCATAAGCTGAAGGAACTCTCCCCTGAGGTCTGGGACTTTGTGGAGGAGCCAAGGTACCAAGACTGCGACGACTTGGAGATCATCAGAAAGGACGACAGAGCTGATGGGTGCAGTTCCGTTGCCGCCGAGTCCTGACCACTCTCAGCGGCAGCTGGGGGGGGGGGCTCGGGGCTGCCTCTCTTCCCCCAGCAGCTTCTGCACAGCCAAGATGTAGCTGAAGCACCGACAGTGTCATTGTGCTCCACCAAAAGTGGCAACACCTGAACACTTGAGCATGATGGGATATTTTTGTATCTTAATTATTTAATAAAAGGTAAAGCTGTGCTTTGACTTATACTCACTCAACTACAGCGAACAAGTTTAACTAAAACCTGCCTTTTAAAGCAGCCGTACTGCATAATGATTGTTCTCTTGATCCTCTTCCCTTTCAGGAACAATTCAAAGCCTTTGCGTGTACTGTGTACACTTTGAAGTATCGGGAAGGGGGAATTACTTCAGAGGGGTTTGTAGTTGAAGGTATTGGTGTCTGGTTCCAAATGCAGGCTTATAAAAGCTTTCTTAGAGGCAGTGGCCTTCAGCTGTCCAGTGCCACTGAAAGCAGCTCTTTGTCTGTTCTTCTGTTAAGAATCAGGTCATCTCCCTCTAGGGGAAAAAAAGCCTCCGTTTCCCTCCCTCACCTCTGTGCCCTGAACTGCTGCGGTCCCACAGCACACCTGTGAATTTGCTGGAAAAAAACCAGCTCCCTTCCAGCTCTGCGTTGACAGGGCAGAGGAGGCAGGCAGGGACTGGGCTGAAGGAGCCACTGGCACACCCCAAGAGGGGTGGGACAAGTCCCAGCTGTACATAGTAGAGAGGAGCCTGCTGCATTAGGGACACTCTCAGGACAGTAACTTTCACTGCCAGAGCAGAGCAGCAGGCAAGGAGAAGCTGTGACATCTCTGTCCCTGGAGACCTTCAGGACTTGGCTAGACCAGCCCTTGCTCATCTGTTGGAGCAGAGAATCACCTCCTGTGGTCCCTTTTAACCTGCTGATAAACTGCTGTCACAGGCAGCAATTGCACAAGCATCCAAACTGCTTGTTCCTCCCTTAGTGCCGACTTCCACGTGTCATTTCATCTCTTGACACTGCCTGAACAGCTCTTCCAAGAAAAAAATCCCAGCATACAGCTGAAGTTTCACTCTATTTACAAATCTGTAACTTCTTTATTCTAAAACAGTTACACTAAAAATATTAGCAAAACGGTCTTCACAGTTCAAAGCAGAGGACTCACTTGGCCATGTCAATGAGACTCTGGAGAGAGGTTGGCACCCATGTCTTTTCTCCTTGTACAAACACAACACCTCTGTCAATGTAAATGACAATCCGTCCAAATGTATACAGCTGTTTCCCTTCGTGCCGCTTTCCAATCACAGGCATGAAAACAATGTTGTGCTCCTCTGCTTTTGTCTGAATTAGGTCCTTGAAGTTCATTGGCACAGAGCTGGCAGCCATGCCGATGCCACGCTGGGCCATGTTTTCAGCCTCCCGACGCTCCTGCATGGCTTCGTACTGAAAGTCTTTCCTCCGCTCGGTGTGAGTAAGGTAGGCAATGTTCTCTCGAGCGCCTGGCTGCATGTACCCACCTGTTTGGAGAGACAAAAGATGTGAAAACAAGGTCCCAGTCCCTTTCTGGTGGAAGGTCTATGGGTAAACTCCAGTCCAGGACACACACAGTAAAGTCAATCTGTAATGTTCTGAATCCTCCTTTACACATTCTAATTGATTAAGTTTTATGCTGTTAATGCTAATACAACGTAGACTAGCTAGGTGAATTTGAGAATTGCAGCAGAAGCAACAGGATTTGACACAATCCCAAATTGTACCTGAGCATGCACAGGAGAGGAAGATGCTGCACTGCTACTGGCAAAGGGAAAATGTGAACAACAAAAAAAACCCCACTCCTGAAATCCAAAACCTAGCCTGTGTTCTCCGTTTGCCACTGCTGGGTTACAAACAGTGGCTATTGCAAAACTGGGCTGAGGACGGAGCAGCACTGTACTGCAGGAAGCAGCATTGCATCAGGAGCACTTTCACTATCAGTCCCCAGTTCACTTTTTGGCTGCATGACTATCACGCCAGAAATTTCTCAATAGGTGAATTCCTCTTTCTGCAACGCTTGCCTGTAGTTGTATCATTTTACCACAGAAATAAACCTAACACTTAAAATGGGCCTCAAGGAATCCTCCATGTTTCTGATGCAGATTCTCCATCGTACAGTACAATAAGCAGGCAAGAGGAACGCAGGAAAGGAGTTCTTGGTCTTGGAGGACAGGGCAAGTCTCAGGCACTGCCTTCTCTTTTATAGAGTTTAATTCCCAGCAAATTCTTAACAAAGTCTTTTAGGTGACAGGGAGAGGCATGTGGAAAGGGCACTGCTCTAAAGCAAGGAGAAGAACCAGTATCTCGCCATGAAGAAAAAAAACCCAACAAATTACAGCTTCGGAAGTCAGTATCTTTAAGTGATGGTCTCTCAGCGACTGACATAAAATACACTATAATCAGGCAAGGCTGAAAGAGAATCAGTTGCTTAATGGCACAGGCAGCCAGTCACCAAAAACCTGTTTCTGCTTCAGTGAAGCGCAGACAATTATTAAGTAGCCCCTTACAGGCATTATTTACGGACACAGCAAGGTAAAACACACGTTGAATTTCACTGCTCATGGGAGCTGCTACAATGCTGATTAGCAGGGCCATGCCTAAATACAGACTCACAAGAACCAAACATTGCTGTACTGCCATCACAGTAAACAGATCCATCACCAGAAGCCACCTACCAACACTGGAAGAGACAGCCCGGTTCATGATATCAAGAGCTTCATTAAATTTGTCTTTGATCGATGGATGTGCTAACACTTGGTCTGAGAACATGGACTTCCAACCCAAGTACCACTTCGTAATCTCTTCGTAATTGGGGCTGTTACTAAGCCAAGAGCACAGCACCTGCAAAACAACATGACAGATCAAATGCAGAAGGACAGGTACATTTACAGAGGAGAGTCCTTATTACCACTTAGTTTATTACTGAGCTTTCAGTAAAAGAAAGGACTGTGACAGTCTTAGGAAACAGTCTGTTCTGATGTGTATGGAGCTATGAGAGGCAATCACCCCGTTTGGTAGTTAAACCATTTCAGCACTGGGGCAGCAATTACTAGGTAGGAGTCACTAAAACACTTCACGGTGAATCAAGCCTGTTTACTCAGCCTTGACAGTTTCTCACCTGCAGCCACTTTGGGAAGAAGTGTTTCTCCAGCAGCCCAACAAGACTGGAGACGGAAATCATCCCCTCCCAGTCAATCACCCAGTAGAAGGCATCCATGTGCTGCTGGTGAGGGTTTATGATGAGTTCATTCAAACACATCCCTGGGAAAAGGGGGAGAAGAATTAGAAAAGAACTTGACTCACAGTTTTACCAGTGCCCTGACCTATTTCACCAGCAACACACCTGATTTGAGGAGCACCTGTTCTGCATGTTAGCCTGAGGGACATTCATGATCTTTAAACTGTTTGGCTGATCCCCGCCACCAAAACAGTGTGCTTCCATTTCCAGTGATTACAATTTGCTGCCAGAACTGAAACTTAAAACGTTCAACTGTTTTTTAGACTACAGAGCCTTTTAGCCAGTTTGCATGGTTGAAGGGTGAATTACAAAATCTCATACTGAAAGCATTAGCATAGACCAAAGAATACAGGAGTAACAGAGAGACATTTTATAGCTTGGTACTATCTGACAACTACCAGATATTCCTGTCAGCTGAAGAACAGAGGAATCAGATGATTTAGAAAAATAAGACAGAAAACACTGAGAATACTCAGAGCACTCCCCCACATTTTCTAAAACATCTGAAAAAAAGGCATGGTACTAGTAGCAGAAAAGAAGATGCAAGCTTGGTCTAAACTTACTAATAATATTCTTTGAAGTAACACTGGTAACCATGTTAACACCTATCTTTTCTAGGTGCAAGGGGGAAGGTGGCAACAAGCAGATTCCAGAAATTCAGCACTGTTTCATCTCACCTAGTTTAGGCACAATGTTTTTGACCATGAAAGCCTCCCATGACCCAGGTGTGAACACATCTTTCCAGGGCTGAAGGATAAGTTTGGCAGAGGAGTCACTGGGATGCCACTTCTGCAGTGCATTTGCCAGCTTATTTCGGATGGGAGAATATAGCGGCTCTAATCGTGCCTGCATCAGAGGAAGCCAAGGGTGGATCCACGAATGGATTGGGACTGTGTCTGTCAAAGGATTCCAGCTTTCAACCTTGAGGTAAAACAGAAAAGATTAAAATAAGCCCATCCATTAGCAGTAAGTCTTGCCAGCTGCAAAAAGAGCCATAATGCAACCCCCTAACGCCTAAATGCATCAGCAGAGGCAGCAAACTGGTATTTTAGAAGTTCTAGTTGACTGAAATTCAAATACTGGTTCAGAGCATGGCTTCATTCTAACACAGCGCTCTCGTCTTACCTCCTTCTGTAGCTTGGGGTAGATGAGCTGATCCAGAATGTTGTCCAGTATCCAAACAGGAACAACGTTTACCCAGCTATCCAAGAAATCCACCATCGACCCACAGTTCCTCGGTTGCCACTGAGCCACTATGTTTCTGACATATGGCATCCAGATTTCCCACATCAGTCTGGCGAGGGGAAGGGGGGGGAATCAAAGTTAAACTTAAAGCTATAGCCCCAGACATAAATAAACCAAATGGTTACTGTTATTTAAAAGCTACTTCTTTTTATATAGCTGACAGCTGGATTTTAACAGACACATCAAGAGAATCATCTGGAAAGCACACTTGTATCTGTTCTTTTCCATCCCTGAGGAACGAGCACTTGAAGACGCTGCACAAAGCACATTTGCCCTTTACCTGTGAAAAGCATCTGTTGACAGGTCTTGCCCACTGTGTGATAACAGCTGATCATTTTCCAAAAGGCTCTTCCACTTGGCTATGATCTCTGTGCCATATGTACAGTCCTGGAAATGATAAGGCATAAGCGGCCTTTATCCTTTTTCATTAATTTCAGCTGGTATCTACAAAGAGCAGGCTGATGGTATGTTCGGCTACAAACAGCTTTCTCACCCACTCAAAAGGCAAGCCATGATTAGTAAAGCCCCACAAGAGGAAAATCCCACTTTATGGATTTAACATACCTCTGGGGGGGGGGAAGAGGATAGTCTGAACTTTTTCATGTGTACAGAGAGAATTCAGACTCTTACCTATCACACCCGAAATGGCATTAAGAATAGTCAGATCTGTGCTGTCTACTTGAAAGACAGACCTCTCCTGCTTTTGCAAAAAAAAAAAAACCCAAAAACGACTAGAGACTTAGCTTTCATCTACTTTTTCTTCCCAACACCCATGAAAGGAGTTGATTTTAACCTTACAAGCTCCTAAACTGTTAACTGCTTTGCAGAACAGTAGCCTTCCGTCGTAGCAAATGTCTGAGAGTGGGTCCATCTTTTTGCACACGTTTATTTCACTCTGCCATGAACAGTGGGAGTTTTCTCTGGAACCTTCCTCTCCCCTGCTAGGAAAGAGGAAGGAGAGTTTTCTCCCTCTCTCTCTCCAGACTGACAGGAATTTGGGACAAAAGGGCAGGGCGTAGAGGAGGAAGTCAAGATAATAAAGACTACATAAGCCATCAAGTAAGAACCACAGATAAATGAAACTAATACACACCTTGAGGGGATCCCAGTTCTTGAAGTAATCTTTCATGAGAGGATAGACTATTGCTACTGCCAGGTCTACCCTATCAGACATTCTGTACTCTTCATAGTACTTGTCTTGAAGCGTCTCAAAAATCTTTGCACATTCGTCCAAGGTTAAGGGATTTTCACAACTGGGCTGCATCCGTCTCTCACACTCTTCCACCATCCCCAGCACCTTGCTGAGATTGCTAATTGCCGTCTCCTCATGCGAGAGAACTTCAGACATCTTCTGGATCTCATGGGTCAGGTTGACAACCATGTCTCTCTCGTACTGCAGCTGCCGGTCATTCTGGATGATCTCCTGCTCTGTGATGTCAATGAGAAGTTGCAAGTTGTGCTCCAGCTCAGGCAAGGCAAACCCCTGGGGCTTGGAGTCTTTGCCCAGTGGCTGCTGAGGACTGTCATCTGGGATATTGTGCTTGTGGCTAATTTGACTGTAGCTGTAATAAACCTTCTGCTCCCGGCCCGTCATGTCTATAACCTTCCAAGAAACAAGAACAAATATTTCGTTAAAAAAACCCTGTATCTCGTGTTTAAAAAAGGAGGAAATGCCTGGCTCCGAATTGAAAACTGGAGATTTCCACGTTTCTTAATTATTCCAGGAGGCTACCAATACACTCTGCTATTCTGAATGAGGTGACTGGGGATTGCATCCAAAAGGCCTACTCCTGACATGAAGAGTTAGAATGAATAAGAAACAATTTGGAATCAGAGCCGGAAGAGTCTCCTCTTCTGACCTGAGTTTTACCATTTCGCTGAGTAATTCTACAAGCGGCGATGATGCAAGTAGTATACTATTCATTATTGCATGGAAGTCTTAGGTACTTTGACACTTCCTTTAAAGACACATTAATTTTAAATGAATAATTTTATTAAGCATGTACAAGACAAATCCCTTACTGTCCCTTTTAGGTAGAAGATTGTTCAAACTATGTGTTTAATTGCACAATGCCAATAAGGACAACTGTGCTTTCAGAAGTGGGTGAGCGTTTTATCTACGGCAAATGTGAAACAATTAAACTTAACTTGCAATTAAAAAAAACCCCACACAAACCACCCACTTTTAAGCTAATTTGCATTTTTCTGAGGCCAAAGAACTTGCTTAAAAACAAATCCAATGTCCTAAGTGACACAGGAGTCTATTACATGATTCAGTCATGAGTTTGAGGACTTGATTTTCATGAGGATGCAGACAGCCAGTTCTTAGAACTGTTATTAAGGTTACCAATGGCTAAAAACCACTCACAATACCAAAGCAGACAAACTGTTTCCCAGAGATGCTACCTCTTAGGTTATCAACCTTACCTTGACTTGAGACAGCTCCTTCTGAGGGGCTGAAAGCTGCTTGTTGATCCTACCCTTGGCTTTCAGTTCCTCTACTGTCTTATAGCTGTATTTGGGCTTTTTCTTGCCTCCATTAGGATCCTTCCGCCACTGACTGAGCTCTTTTTGAAATTCCTAAAGAGCAACAAAGAGGAATTGTGGTCACTGCTGTTTGTCATGCCCCCAAATTTGCCTCCATTTTCTACAGGAAAATAACCATCAGATCAAGGAAGAATGCTGTACAGCAAAATAACTGGGAAAGTGGTAAAGCTTAGTGACAAACTGGCTCAGATGCTGTGGTCCAGTCAACCACCCTATTCACAATGCTAGCAGTACATTTCTAGTCTTTTTTTTAATGTAAACAAAAGACAAAGATTATTTGCCCGGGGTGACTCTTTGAAGGTGGGGTTCTAGCAAGACTACTGGAACAAGTGAACCAGAAACAACAAAAAGAACATTACGGTGACAAGAAAAATGTGTCTAAATGAAATTCACATGCTATGTCTTTAGCTTCTTATCTAAAATGAGCCCAAACACAGAAGCTGATACCAGAACTGAATTCTGTACATACAACACAACGGGGAAACAGACATACCAAGAATTATACAAATACCTCTTCAGCTTCTTCTTCCGAGTCCACAACAGGGAAGTCTTGCAAAGACTGGCTGGTTCTTTCAGAGCCGTATGCCCCCACAGCTCCTTTGCCTTTTCTCTGTTTTGCCTCAATTGGATTGATAATACCTAAGAGAGCAATAGTTAGATCAGAAAGAACAGTTTATTTACTGAGAGAGAACAGTGAGTGTTTTTCTTACAGTGCCCTAAGTTATCAAATCAGCACAAACATCCAGCCTCGTATTCTTCCTCTATTACTATGGTATCTTCTACCACTTCACTAATTTTAGTGGCTATAAAAATCACTTAATTCCAGCACACACCAAAAAAACCAAAGCAGAGTATTATTCACATCTGCATTTCACCGCTTTTTTTTATTCTGTCACATAAAATAACATCTCCTTTTCTATGGGCTGACTGCCTTTGGAATTTATCTCCCTTTTTTCTTTCTCTTTTTCTCTTGCAAAATAAAAAGAACATAAAATTGGCCTACGGTAGTTTAAGTGCAATTGAATCTTATCATGAGGACCCAGATCACTTGCAAGAGATGCAAGAAAACAAGAATGAATTTGTAAGCTACCTGGAAATGGCAGTTCTTCAAAGAATCCAATCTCTTCTCCAAATTACTAGTTAACAATAAACAACCAGACACACAATCACAGTACCTTGAGCATTCTTCCCGAGACCTCTTCCGGGGACGTAACCCATCTTCTGGAGAAGCTTCTGCCCAATTCCCTTAGTGTGTCTCTCCCAGCTGCCAAAATCCACAAAAGATTTTGTCCCCCCTACAAAGCCTTTCTGACTAGGCTTGAAATTACCACCCTGTTAAAACAAATAAACAAACAAAAAAACCCCACATGACCTTAAGGCATCATAATAATCAAGCTTTCTGTAATTTCACTCAAAAGGAAGTTTCTTCCCAGAAGTGATTCAGCTGTCATCACACTGCACAGCTCACTATGTCATGACTTGTACATCCAAGTAAGCTGCCTGACATCTAAGGAGTTTCCTGAAATTCCTTAGATGGAAAAGGAAAGTCCTGACAAGCTTAGAGTGACAACCTGGCAGTTACTAGGCTCCACCACTGACTTTAGCTGAAGCTGCTTCCTGATTCTTTCTGTGTTTGGTAACTGAAAATAAGGGTTTGATTTTTAATCAATAACATGCCTAGATTCATCATACTATTCTGCAAGATTTAAAAAAAAAAAAAAAAATCTTTGAAAGGCAGCAAAGCACAGACATTCTTTTATTTTAACCTCAACTGACCAAAGGGAATATTATGGAAGACAAAAAGGCCCAAAATGACTCATGTTCCCAAGGACACACAACTATACCTCAGAATGGCTACAGATGACAGAGAAAACACTTCCCTTAACTGCAGGCCACCGCGTGTGGTTCTCTGGGTTTAATTATTTCTCCCTTTCTTTATCGCTCTATATTGTTTCTGCACCTTTGACTACAGCCTAGGTTTCATAAATACATGATGCAGAATTGAAAACTTCCTGGATAACTCACTGTTTTTAACTTCTTCGGCACAAACTCTTTAGGGATTTCCTCCTGCTTAACAGGCTTTTCATCTTCATCGGAGTCTTCTTCCGACGCATCCTCAGCTGCTGACTTTTTCAGCCCGGCGCTGATGAAGTTCACGGGGGCCGAGTAATCCCTGGAGCTACACCAAACCCAGACCTGTGAGCCAATTCTGTTCCAGCGGACCAGCCCGCCCCGAGGGCAGCCCCTCTCCCAGGCTGGGCTCTTCGGGAAGGCGTTTACAACCTGAAAACCTCCACCAGAAGGGGCAGCCACCCGAGCCCTGCCCACCCGGCTCCCCACGCCCGCCAAGTGCGGCACAACCGGGGCCTGGCCGAGACGGCCCGGCTCGGCCCGGGGGCCCCTTCCCTCCGTCCCCGGCCCGTACCGCTTGCCGCCGAAGCTGGGCCGCTCCTCGTCCGAGTCGCGCTCGGCCCACACGCCGTAGGTGGCCTCCTCCTTGCTCTGCCGGTGGCGCTGCCGGTGGGGGTTGAACTCGTTCTGCAGGTCCCAGTCCGACACCTCGAAGTTCTCCATCTCCACGCCATCTTCCCCGTCCGTACCGTACAGGTGCGACATCGACATGGCGCTCCGCGGGCACCCCCCGGCCCACACACGGGGACCGCGGCCCAGCCCGGCCCCGCTCCCCCCGCCGATCCCAGTACGCCGCGGCCACCCGGAACTAAATCGTCTCCTTCCGGTAACGCACTCCAGGCGCCGCTTGAGCCACGCCCACAACCGTGGAGCTGCTGGAAGGAGCGGCCCCGCTAGGGCCTCACGCACAGCAGCTCCTCTATGGTTTGGCGGCCCGGCCCCAGGCGCCCCGCGGCCTGCACTGGGGGGGGGAGGCCTGAGGCCGGGCCCCCCCCGGGAGCAGAGAAGGGAGAGCAGAGCCTGCGCTATTAAAACAACATTTTAATGGTGTGCAACAAAGGATAGGAGGCCGGGGGCGGGGGGGAGGTGGGCTCATATATTAACTCTGCAATAGCCTCTGTAAGTCACAGGGAAGGGCTGGGGGGGGCGGGGGGAGGGTGTCACTCGCACGACAAAGGCTCTACAAGGTCAGGACACCTATTGCTGACCCGCGGATTAGAGAACAGCGTTACGAGACATTTAAACGCGATTTAACGAGTCCCACGGCCACAGCATACACGATCTCCTCCCCACGCCGGCTGCGGTTTCCACAGATCCTTCGTCGGGAAAAGGCGGACGACGATGCGTAAAACGTTTGGCCTTTGCAAATAAATGCAAATACATTCCTCGTATAGCAGTCATTTTGGCAATAGTATTAGCAAGCAATATGCTTGGATAACCGATTTCCACTGGTGCCATTGCAAACTCTTCTTTGTTGGACAACAAAAGGCCAGTTGCAGCATTCTGGAAGAGAGGAACACACAGACTCAGGTGCAGGATCCGGTCACGCCAGCACAGCAGGTGCACAACTAATGGTTTTGAAGTGGCCGGGACAGAAAAAAATAGCAAGAAAGAAACCGAGTCCCAGCTCCGGGACAGTGGGCACACAACTTCTATTCTCACGCAATGCTTCCGATTCTTTTTTATTTTTTTTAGCACAATATACTGCTTTTACATAGAAACTAGTTTTTAAAGGGTCATTTTTAGTAAGAAAAATGACATTTTATGTTTCAGCGTAGAGGCTAGCTGAAAAGAGAGACAGAAAAACATCCAACATATCAACGCTTGTATCTGGAGCAGAAACCCAGGGGAGCAGCCTTGTTTTTCCAAACTGACAACAGACACGACTGCTTTATCTTCCCTTCCACGGGTCCACAGCACGTCCTAGAAGACAGCTGGGGAGCAGCTCAGCTCATCTACACATTTCCACATCCTGTTTCAATGCTCCCCACGGGGACAGTCAGTAATAACTCTCTGAAGTGGCTGATTTCGATTTTGCTGAAGTAAGCCAGTTTTCAGACCTCAGAAAAAGAATTTCTGACAAATCGTCTCACGTAACAGTATTGTTCTGAAAACCTACAGCAACTGTGAAGGGGATCATTTGCATAACGAGCGTGCCTGGAGCAGCCTGGCTAATCTACAGGCACAAGAAATTACACAAGCGAAATGCTACCCCTGGAGCAAAGCAGGCAGATTTGCCCGAGTCCCAGAATGAAGTACAAGGTCTTACCTGGAAATCATTAATTTTCTTAGTGAGAAGATGATGTGTTCTGAGTCACCTAGAATAACCCGGAAACAGAAGGGTCAGCTTTAAACCACCATCTGCAACTCAAAACATTCCTGCTGTGTTCCCAGCAGCAAGAAAATGAAATGTTTAGGATGCAGAAAGCAGCACAAAGGCAGAGAACCAGCAGCCAGGAGATGCTGCCACGAGACTGCAGCCTCTTGCTTCACTACCATTCACACAACACGAACCACCCTGGGCAGCCATCCAGGAACTGCCAGCAACACCTCTCGCAGTGAAAGCCACTACACACTCACTTCACCAGCGGGCTTGCTTCCTCAGTCCAGGACTGGGCTCTGCATCTTCTCGCCCAACACTGGCGATGCAGCTCAATCCCCCTGCTTTCTTTAGGAGGCCACGTGTTGAGCAGGTAAAACCTGGCACCTTTGACTGAAACATCAACACCAATCTCCTGCATCTCCATACTGTGCAGGTAGCGCTTTCTGGAGAGTCAAGAAGTCGTCTTTTTTTTTTTTTAAAGGCTGTATGTGTGTCCTGGTTTCAGCTGGAATAGAGTTAATCGTCTTCCTAGTAGCTGGTATAGCGGTTTTTTTGGGTTCAGTATGAGAAGAATGTTGATAACACACTGATGTTTTCAGTTGTTGCTAAGTAGTGTTTAGACCAAGTCAAGGATTTTTCAGCTCCTCATGCCCAGCCAGCAAGAAGGCTGGAGGGGCGTAAGAAGTTGGGAGGGGACACAGCCAGGGCAGCTGACCCAAACTGGCCAAAGGGCTATTCCATACCATGTGACGTCATACCCGGTATATACACTGGGGGGAGTGGGTCGGGGGGGGGGGGGAACGAAC